GAAATTCAACCTATCCCACTGACATAGCAACCAAGTGTTTTGTCATCTTCTGTCATGTTTGAGGCAGGACGCAAATGATACAAATTAAGCCCAAACCAAAACTGAACACCCTCCTGCCACATGAGACTGCATCCCTACATGTCCTGAGGCGGTGGAGTTCGCACTGGTGAATGGAACCCCATCGAAGCCGTTTGGGGCGATCATGGCACCTTGGAATTCATCACGCTTTGATTCTCATCGCCTCGGCACCGATCGAAGCCGAGGACCCCGAAACGAGGAAAACACTCACGCTGGGCGCTGCGTGGCACGCTGCGCCCGGCTGGTAAAAAATCAAGCCTGACACTGCCTTGGAAATCTGACATGGTGTGATAGGGCAGCATGTCTGACAAGCGGTTCAACGTTCCGACATCAGTTCTGACATTTTGTGCTGGCCTCAAGTAAGGCTTGTTTTCACATGTGTTCTGATATGTTTTTGTTTTTTTCTGACATCAGTTCTGAAATTTCTGCTGGCTGGCATCAAGTATGGCATGCGTTCGGTCATGTGTTCTGACACATGTTCCGACATTTGTTCCAACATGTGTTCTGTCACCATGTGTTCTGAAGTAAGTGGTGGAGGGAGGCAAACGTGGCGGTGTATTGTTCGCTACTCTTCACCCACATGAAACTCTAGTATCTTGCTCTCTGGCTTGCTCTCTGGGTGAAGAAAGGCTTCGCCGGGTTCGCCTTGGCCGACTATAAATTTCTAAGCCAGCCAACTGTTGACGCGACCAGCTCTACTCATTCTCCCCTTTGAGTCCGTCGCCGGACGGACTCAACGGCGTTTCCTGACACGTCGATTCATCCGAGAAAGGCGTGGTGAAACAGCGCATGTTCATGAATGCGAAGGCCCCATGCAAAGGTGCCTCAGCACCCTTGATATGACGTTTTCTAAGCACGGAGCAGGCCGGAGCGGGGGGGGGTTGTGAGTCGGAAAGTCTGCGACCATCTCAGATTCCAGCACTTGAGGTATCGCCGAGCCTTGGCTATGCACCAAGTCCCAGTTAGGTGTCATCCCACGAAGCAACACCGGCTTGGACTCTATTGGCCGTGGCAATGGCAACGTGGCCATCGTTGATCTTACAAGAACGGACCCGACTGGAAAATCAACTGGAAAGTTATAAACCAATCCAACCTACCTCATCAATCCAACTCATCTCTTCAACAACTCGTCTGACTCATGTTGAACGTCTGAGGAACCTTGCAAATTGTTTATCGACTGGGTATCTCAGGCTGGGCGCTTTAACTCCAGAAGCTATGGCTTTGTGGGAAAGTTGTTGGCTGAGAGTCCCCCCGGAATGCTGCTAGTCCCGGAGCCGCTTCATCTTTGTCTTCGTGGCCCCCTATGTCGCATGGAGGGCTCGACCAAACGTACACCCCGAAGGATGTTAAAGTTGGAACATGGCCCCGGAAGACTGTTTAGAAACGACCCACAGCAATTGCCATCCACTTCCGTGATTCTTTCAGGGAGGGTATCATCTCATACAAACTACAAATCACCTTAAATCACCATCAACCGTGTTCCTTTAGTATCCTTATACCACTAGTAGCTTCTTGCTAGTAGGATGCAAGAAGAATAATAGCGATGCACTGACACTGACTGGCCTCTCTCAGCCTCTCTCAGCTCCCACACCGAATCGTCTGTGGGCGGTCGACGCCGGACAGAACCCCTGCTCTGGGCCTCAACTCCGTCGCTGGGCGAGCCTTTTTGGTCTCTAAATGGATCCTCCTTGGAGAACTGGCTCAGAACTGAATGAACAAAGTCTCCCAAGGGGAATGTCAATGAGGTGATGTTGGCTTATTCATACTTGTTGAGTCGAGATTAATTCCAATCTACTCTAAACTTGTTCACCACGTGCGTTTCTTGGCACATGTTCATCCTCCCATTTGAAGAGTTCCGCTCAGTTCCGATCTGCATGTGCAAAAAAAGCGAGTTGAATACTCTACCACGGTATGCTCACCTACCATGCTGTTTGCTTGGACCCACCATAGGAGGACTAAGACTAGCTTTGATGGATGCTTGCGCCAACCAATTGCTTCGAGGGAACCTCCTTCTGGCACACCTCCCCGAAGATTAATGCGCGACTCAGTTGATCATCGCAACCTGAGTCTTCTCCATCGATATACGGTATACGTCAAAGGTCAAAGGGTATGCATGGGCTTGGGTGTGCGCCCAAGATGTTCAAAGCCGTAACATTAGACTGCACCATCCATGTCCTTCACTGGCCAGCTGTGAAAAGCCTACCATCAGCTCCACCCTCTTGGGTGCCCCAAGGTGCCCAGCTGTACCATAAAAGGATTGTAAAATCATTCGGCCCCGACGCGTGGGCTTGAAATGTGCCAACGCGTGTGGCACGCATGTGCTGGACCATCCCGATGTAGCTTGGCTAGAAAAAAGGGTGAATAAGAATTCAAACACACCAAACAACACCCAACCGTCCCCAAAACACTGCGCGTTCTGTGCAAGATGTTCTGAGATTGGCACACTTCCGAGCAAGGGTGATCTGAGTCGCGACGGTCGTTTCGCGTCGGAGAAAAGAGGAGTCCGGCGATGGGCGAGTCCAGCGATGGATGGCTTTCTGAACCCAGGAGTTGAAAAGAAAAACCTGTGGCTTTCTGTGGAGGAAGTCCACGCGTTCGCCGCGTTCGGCCTTTTTCAAGTGGTTTATTAACTCTCTCTCTCTATATATATATGTACATATCAATGCCAAGAAAAAAAACAACTGGCATAAAATTGAGCATGGTGAACCTTGACTTAAACATACTTAAACTGTTGTTGTCCATGCTTCTATAATCTTCTGTCCTTCGGAAGGCCAGAGTTGAACTCTCCATAGCATCACGGCCCTCAGTGTCTGCTCTGCATCAGGGAGTCGTAGGGTCAGAACAGAATGCAAGTAGCCTAACAATGGCGGGAAACATCTTCCCCAAGTTGATCTTCTCAAGGAACGGACGGCCAGAAAAAAAAAAAAAAAAACAATACAAAACATAACACTCTAGTACCTGGAAACAGCTCAAAGAACGGCCCAGCTCGGAGAAGAAAGACCATCGAAACCTCAACTCTCTGATACGAGCTCCCACATATTTTGTCCATGTCAAGGACCTGAAGTCCTGCCACAGCCAGGTGACCGACTCCTTCTGAAGAAAAGGACCTCTGTGGACCATGGCAACCCTCTGTGGATCTTCAAACATCAGGAGGAGTCTTTGCTCTTGGGGAGTCCATGGTCATGATATATCCTGACATATATAACTATACCCACATCGTACTACCTCGGTGGCCTAGGCGACCTCGTTGCACCTCTGAGGTGCCCTGCCCTTCGAAGAAGTCGCCCAAGCCAAGCAAACCTCATGCGCACAGCCCAGAGGCGTTTTAGCATGGCACGGCCCAGTTTCAGATTTAAGGAATGGAGTTGTGACTGCTGGAACGTTGTATGTTTTGCTTGACTGCGTGTAAAGATTGCCCGGGCTAGGGCTTCGGACTCCGGTTTGATCTGTTTGGACTATCTCCAGCTATATGCAGCCTTAAGCTCTACAGAACTTGTACGTTTTCCCAAGGTCACCAGTCTTCGAGATGCCGTCGTGGTCAAGTCATGTCATGTTTCCCCCACGCTCACTCCCTGAAACCAACCATGGCAGGGCCCCTAGAAACAGCGCGAAATCCTCTGCCAACGGAGAAAAACATGTTTTGGAGGGAGGGTCCATCGGCAGAACCGGGCTCAACCTTCCGGAACAGGCATTTGGGCCCGATGTGTGACAGGTTGGGACGGCCATCGTCAAAGAATGGTGAATCGACCTTCCATTGACTTTGGCAAATCCAACCTAATGTAGATCGACTCATGACTAGTAAAACCACCTGGTAAAAAACGGATTGTAAACCTCCTCCTTCATATGGGGGCGTTGATTCATCGAGTCTACATGACCAGTGGAATTCGTGTCAAAATCCTCTTCCTTTCTCCGCCTCCAAGGAACTCCCTCGGTTGGGCCGCTCAGGCGTTGGGGCGGTCGCCTGGTCTGTGGTCTCGCTGGGTCAGTCCCAGAGTCCGGAACCGAAGAAATAGCGGAGCGGGCGGATGGATCTTGAACCTTACAGAATCAAAAACGATATTTCAAACAACTCTTCGGTATTGTACTGTTATGACATGTGTGTTGGGTTGATGATTGCTTTCTAAACATCTTCTACCCCATCCATAATTAGATGCTTAATTAGATATAACTATAGCGTCTTTCCAAAACAAAAGCGGTGTGACATGATGCGATTCCTCAAACAGTCAAGGAACATGGGCCGCAGGTGCTGTGGTGGCTTTGAGCCGTTTGATCGAAAAATGACCCATAAACCACTCAAAAGGTAGGGCCTCATAAAGCATCCAAGTGCCATGAACCCATCAAAGCCTTCAGATTTCCTTGATTGCACAAAGAAGCCCAGGTGGGTTGCCCGCCCGTGGGTCAGGGCTGAGCGTCTTCTTTGCTCTGCATGCTGCGTTCTAACGTCAGAGTGTTTAAATAGAACAGTAAATCAAAGAACAAGCAACAACCAACTTATATTAGTTTGTTGATGCTCTTCGTTTTGAAGATCTTGCACATGGTCGAACTTGCACGTCCGATCGTTATTTGGACAAACGAAATGTATGCAAGGCTTTTGGTCTCGTGAAGTGGAGGATGCTTGTCATGAGCATTCCATTGCATTCTCAGCACCCAAATTCTTCGAGATCACAACCGACTCGCGAACAAAGTCATGTGTACCACTTTTTTCACGCAAACGAAGCGCAGCCACAATGGATTATCAATGATCATGAAATTATGAGACTCAACCGACTCAACCCATGTAAACACCCATTGGCTGGTCATTGGGACACTGATGGACACTGCGGTTAGTGGTTGGGTCTGACCCATGGTTCTCACTGCATGGCACCGCATGGATGAGATTGGCATTGGCATCACAGGCAGGCTCTCAGAGGCTCTCATAGATCTCACTCGAGTGGGTCCTGACGCATGGTCAAAAGCTATGATACTATGTCCTTCTCAAACAGGGAGACACATGTATTGAAACTTTAACTGTTCTATTGAAACAGTACAGTAAGTCGTTTTTTTGCGGGAATGAACCGTCCCGGGAGTCTTCGGTGGGTGGTGGATCTATGTTTCAGGAGTGCGCCTTCTTGCTCATGTGACATGCACCAAAGCACGTGGAGACACGTGGACACATTCACCAGGCAGCCGCTGGGGACCTTAATGGACCATTTCCCGTTCTTCGGGGACTCAAATTACCACCCGAAGGACTTCAATCACACTGCCTTGACCTGAAATCGAAAGAACCCGCAGAACCTGCAATGCGCCAGCATCAGTCAAACGAAGCAACAAATATAGAAATCCAACCGGCTGCTTCCGATCCTCTCCAGATGAAAAGGCTGAAGACAAATACTCGGCCTCATGTTTTGGCCGAGTATGGCAGTAGCTGGCTGGAATTGCATGGGTTTATTGGATCTGGCTGAATTTCAATCAAAGTCTTGCAGTATCAGTATGGCCTCTTTTGAGGCATCACTCTTGTGACTTGCTTGTCTTTTTCATCAGACCGACCGTTCCAAAGAAACTGGTCGAGTCTTGTCTATATGTCTGACTAGCCCAGGTGGATGGGGACGGCTCTGAAACCCTCTTGGCGCTATTGTTTCACCGATGTCCAGCCTGGCGGATCCTCTTGGTCTCAAGAAGCGCCCATATCGAGGCTGGTTCAAAAGGAGTACAACCAACAGAAGGAACGACCCTCAAACAGGTGAAAGGAAAACAAGGAGAAACCAGGAAGATTGAGAAAAAATGATTGATAAACATGGAGAAGTCCACTCCTCCCTGCCAAAATGAAACATCGTGACGTAGCTCCTCCAAGTGCCGTCCTAGCCATAGGTTTCTCAGTTGTTGTCCGCTCTATGCCCAGCCCATACTTGCACAGAAACGACATTGGCCTGCACCCACAACCTTCTCCAAATTCCGGAATCTGTCCCAAAATGAGTGTCCGAGCAATATGTTGGTGTTCACCTGGGGTAGGGTCCATGGAAAGTTTCAAGTTGTGCTTTATGATCTTCATGAAACCGGTTTGACAATTGAATGTTGATCATCACACTGTCAGACAGTGTGTGATGCTCAGCTCATCTCTGAGCTCATCTCATATCACCTCTCGCCACAGTGGTTGGACCGAGGTGCGGCGCGCTCCACATTTCCACGGAACATGTCCAAGGCATCCTTTGCCTGCTCCTCGCTGAAGCCCATGTTCACCAAAGAAGCCACGCTCCTGAGGTGAACGCTGAGGCCGTTCAGCTCAGCTCAGCGCAGTTCCGGAGGCGATGATGGCTCCAACCCGAAACAAACGCTCCATATGATGTGCGTTCACGGCGTTGAGGGAACTGCGGGAACTGGGAAGAAATACCTCCCAAATGGTTGGTACACTCCTTGGAAGCAACATGGAATTGGAAAATAGTTTATTGGAAGACCATTTTCCTCTGCGAAGAGGTGGGGTTTCCACTTCCATGTTAGCTCCAGGCGGTAGAACTGAAGCTAGTTGCTCTTATCCGGTCTTGCTTCTTGGCTCCCTTCCACAACTAGGGCAAAATAGCAACATCAAGGGGCCCATCAACCCAACCCCTGCCCTTCAACACATAGATCCGTGTTCTTCTGTATGTAAAATATCCGTATAACTGCACATATTGAACATATCCACAAAAGTTCACAGCAATATAGTGGATTACTATAGTGGATTAAATTGAATATAGATTAGTAATATAGTGGATTCAAAAAACAAATATCTAGACATATATATGTTGATAGTTGGCCAATACTTTGGCCAATTCATCCACATCACCGACCGAAAAACCACCACGCCAGTTCTGCCCGGTGACTCGGGCTGCTCATCGACCGACCTGGCAGCGGTCCAGGGAGAGGGTGAGCATGGTCCCAACAGGGGAGATCAGCAGACTATCCTTCTCGCCTGCAGACGGTCCATCCTTCGAACTTCGAAAAATCAGGGAAATCTGCAATACTTCGATAACACATCACACATTTTTCCATTTCTGTTGGACTTTTGCAGTTTCAGCCTCGCAGGTCTATACCTCTACCAAGCCAAAGTTGTGACAAGCCAAAGGTGTTCTGGCAAAAAGAACAACAACCCTTTTTTTATCTCTTCAAATATTCTGAAAATCACATAGATCGACTTTCTAGTGAGCTGGTGGTTCATATTAGCTTCATTTAGCGCCCATCTTTTACAATCAACAAACGACCAATTTAAACTGGGAGGCTGCTAGCTTCAAACGGTGGGTGCCCACCTGTATCCACGACCATTCTTTTGTAGTTCTGTTTTAACAAATGTGCATGTATTGTATCAACTGCCGTAGGATTAAAACATTTACATGTGCATTAACAACAACAAGTCATCGGGACCCCCCCTACAATTCTTACAGTAAGTGGCTATCCGACCCGGAGTTCCATCGGAAAACTCCAGCATCGAATAGCATCGAATAAACAGTTTCACGCTGAGGTGTCTAAAGGATCCTCCAAACTCAAGTGACTCAAGTGGACTTTTGGAAGTTCCTTGAGCCTGGAGCTTCCAGCTCCATTGGACAAATCCTGAAAAATGCACTAAGACTATTATGGCACAAACTGGGCTCTGCGATTCTACAAATGAGCAAAGAAACAAACAAACTGCAGCAGCTGCGCCTCTGCCGCAGCGACGTCGACGTCGTCGCGGCCGCCACCAGCTTCGGCAGCGCCTCAGCTGCGAAGCGCAATCGGTTTTTTAGTGGTGAAAATCCACGCGTCTGAAAGAGCAGTCCAAGGGGCCTATATACATACATTCTTTGAGGTGGTTTTCTATGTGATTGTAGAAACTCTGCGGGCAAATGATTGCCGCGGAGACAAGGAGACTGTACATGAACAGGGTTTCATCATTGTTTTTGGACGGTTCTTGCCACACCTGGAAGCCAAGGATCGCCCGCGGCGTAGGTCTTCACGCGCGTCGTGGCTTTTTGTCGGCTCACGTCGTCCGTCAAGTCGAAGGGAGTCGTGGAGTGCTTCTGTTCCACTAGCAGAGCAGCGAGGAGTCCCACCGAACCGCGGTGTCGGGGTTGGTGTGGAGAACTCGTGGAGGGTTGGTGTGAACATAACTTGGGCACTGCGGCACTACTGCCTAGTAAGCCGTTATTTAGTAGAACTGCCATGTACGACCCCCTATCAACGGGACTAACCCCTGCAAACAGGATTCTATAGAATGGAGATTGTTTGCACAGCTAGCCCGAAGATTGCCACTGGATGAATTCTGTGCCTGACGCTGACGGCAGGTGCAGTTGCACAGTGTTGGACTCTGTGTCTGGGTTCAAACAGGAACATAACCAGTTCCTCAGTGTTGACTGTCTCTCAATGGTGTTCCTCTTTTGAAAGGGTTCTGGCCATCCCTGTATAGTACCTCAAACATCCTCAAACTATCAAAAGAGATGTGTCATGGGAAAGACAAACCGCCATGATTCCACAACCAAAGGAACAACAATCCACCTTCAAGCATGGACAACCTACACATCATTAAGGTCAAGGGAAACAAACATCAATCAACCGCTGGTGGCGACAGTGGTGACATTGGCCAAGTACGGCGACGGCCGGTGTAGGCGAAAGTTGACGAAAGTGGTGGGATGATGATAGATGGATAGTGAAGACCATTGGAAGAAGAGTCGGGAAACCATCCCACTGTATCTCTAGACTTGCCGACTTGATCTTCATGGGTCTCCACGTTTTACTTGCAGCATTGTGTACCCAAATAGCAAGAGATAGATCCATCCGGGATATCCAAAGCACCGGCAAGACATGCCAGCAGCAACATGGAGTCTATTATGAGCCATATATTTGAGCAAACCTAAACCTCTACACACTACACACGTCGAACCAAAACGTCCACCTCGTTCATCACCGGCCTCGCATCACACCATCTCTGATGTACACGATGGCACGCCACCAGCTACCGGGTGGAAAGTCCTCGGTCAGCCGCCACGTTCGTTCGGCGACGGTCGACTCCCACGGAGCGGCATGCGCAAGCCAAGGGCCGAACGCAAAAAAAGGCCGCCATGGAATCCCAAAGGGCCAAAACGTGAGGATGGAACTGGAAAGTGCACAGGCTCACAAGTGCCAGGATCACGATTTTTGGTTTCTTCGGCTACGACCAGGGGTCCTATAGATGAATCTTCCAGGTGCATCCATGGCTTCCAAAAGGCAACAGTCAAAAGTCAAAGGGGTGGTCTAGCTGGTGGACCCCGGGCCTTGGGCCCTTGAAAGGGCCGATCTTCACACACGAAGATCAGCTCGCGAGCTCGGTGGAAGCACGAGCTGCGAAAGGTCCGGTCGTCACGCGCAGTTCGGTCGAAACGCAAAGAGGTCGTCGCCCCAAACAACCTCCACGGGGACGACTCCCAAATACGTCGCCCCACAAAGACCCCTCTCTTGACCACCCCTGTTGCCGTGTCGCAAATATGGCAGTCGCAAGTGTCGTGTCTGGGAAAGAGTGTTGGTCCCTGGAAACGGACTGTTGACACGTACACACATTGCGCACACACGCCATTGCGCACAGTGTGTTTGACCGCGATTGAGCGCGAAGCCTTCGGCGGATGGATCGGCCAGGAGGACCTCGGGAATTCTTGGAACTGCTGGGGTGCAAGAGTCATCGCTTAAAGGCACTCCTGTGAGGCCCCCATATTTGCAGACCGGGCGCTGAGTTCCCACACCTCAGTCGCTTGAATTTCACTTCTATAGCGCAAGGTCAGCCAACCGCAACCGCAACCCTCCCCCCCCCAAAAAAACAGCCATAACAACAGCAAAACGCACATGCTCGGCCCCTAACCGGGTCCTCAAACATCCTCAAGCCACCTATGCCATCCTACGCTTCACCGGACCTACATGTCCGTCGCGTGCGATTCACGCTTCCCAGAATTCTGTGGTCAATGTTTGGAGTCCTCTTTTTCGCTCTGAGGTTAGACAGCAATCCGGCTGGTTCGAACGGTTGGAAAAGTCCCCTTGGCTTCAGCATCTGACTGGAAGAGCCATGACAGTGTGTCATACGAGTACATTAAATGACTCAGATCGGTGGCGCACTCAGGTTCACCATTGAGATGGAATCAACCGGATCTCTTATTTAATTTGCTATTAGACCTTCCCTTTGGCTTCACCAGGTGAACAGCTAGCAAAAATTGAGGATGTGTGCCACCTACACTGAGTAGATGCCGCAGTTGATCAGCCATTTTGCCACAAGCGGGTGCAACATCTGTGAAATGTGTTTGCGATTGCCCTCGCGTAGGGCGGCGCGCACAGCCGTGGAGCTGATGTCCGGCAATTCCTCGGATGAGGCCGTGGAGTTTTAGATATGGGTCATTCCTCTGGTGCTTGACAATGACTTCATTAAATGGACCGTCCAATCAACACAAATGTACTGTATATACAAATGATGCCATTATATATATCGTCTTTGCGACTTTCCATGAAAATCCAGAACAAAACAACTCAATTGAGAGTTGGGGATGACCATGCAATCGTCCAAGTCCTTGTCGTCAATCGAATGCCCTATGACTCAGCATCGTTAAAAAAGTTCCAAAGAGTTGCAGTATGGGAGCACATAATACATGTAAAATGTATTTAAAAACAGCTCGTCTTCTTAGCACTCCCAAGGTTCACGGCCAAGAATAAAGTATTCGCCGTTCACTTGGACCTGCGCTCGAGTGGCTCCTTTGATCACCTCCGCTGTGAAGTGTGGCCGGCCCATGGTGATAAAGCGACGGCTGGGAGAACACCAACGCCACTTGGCAAACCTGCAAACATCATCAGCCCCATTCAGCTCATATCTGATGAAACGCAAGTTCGGCCACTTCAGCTGGATCGACTTTGCCGCATCCTGCTCTCGCATTGGGTTGAAACTCATCCATGGAACATCTGCAGTGGCGAGTTGCACCAAGTGAGCCCTGTCCTCATAAGAAATCGATGGCATTCCCTTTCCACGCATCTTCTTGCAAACTTTCTGCTCGTTGTTCAGAGAGAGCAACCCCAGAACCTCCTCGAAGTGCTCGTTCTTCTTTGCTTCGTAGTTCACGCGTGGGCGCTTTGAGCGGCCGTGGTGTTCACGTTCGATCTCGCCCAGTAACATCTGGCGAGAACACTCGAAGGCCATGCAGTGGGCCCTGGTGACAGGACAACATGAGCCAGTCATGGTCAGCAAGGCCACCAAGCTACCATCTTTGAGCTCATCCAGAAGAGGTGACAACTTCTCCAAAAAAAGCCCCTCCATGGCTCGGTAGGCTTTCGTAGTGCTTATGTGAGGCTTCGTGCAAGGTCAACTCTAAACGGACCGCTTCCTTTCATGTGGGCCCACGTGATCTGATGCCCACGTGGCCACGTGAACCACAAGGAATGAGGTGCCGTGTGCTACTAGGAACAAGAAGCCACAAGGGTGGAGGCCATCACTATTAGTAGCAAGAAGCTACTTAATATAGATACTGTTTATTTCTACGGATCACCGGCGAACAACCAGAAAACACGTTGATCCCAATCGCTGCATCTCACCTGCCCGCTCTTCGTGGAAAGCATCCGGACGCCTTTGGAGTCTGAGCCAGGGCTGCCCAGGCGGCCAGTAACTGGACACGGTGCTACTAATGTAGACTCTTGATTAATAAGCCACCCATATGAAGAGGATGTTCCAATTCAAGCGGGGAGGTTAGTAATCAAGAGTCTACATATATCATTCAAAGGTCAGTCACTGTGAACACATCATAGAATTTCATGGACCATGAATTTCAAGGAATTTCTTCGCGCTGGTGACTGCACTCCTCCTGTGGCCGGGTCGCACAATCCTCTTCGCCATATCCTCGGCCTCAGTTCCCGAAACCACCGGGACGGAGTCCCTCATTGCTGCTGGTAACCAGGGCAAGCCCAGGTGAGGTAGTTTGCACGGGTGAGGTGCACTGGTGACATCCGGTGACCGGACCCCAACCATTGGATCAGGTGACTGGACCTCAGAAGCGGGTCTCTGCTCCCGAGACTCGTGGGGTTGGTTCATTCGTCCCATCATCCCTCAATCGCGGGGGATGGACGGCGCATAGGGTACACCCAGTCGTGCCTGGACCCGCTTAAGCCATGCATCTATGTCTCACACTCAGCTGGATCCTCTTCTGGCTGTGAGGCACTGCGAGGCAAAGGCTATATAGCCCTCCTCTGACTTCCTGTAGAAAAACATCATGCAAACTAGAAGCATCAATCAAAAGCCAGAACTCCAAGCACCAAATATAAGGTCATCCCTTTTCTCCCACCTCCACATCCTCCGCATCCTCCAAAAACGAACCAAACGAACCAAGGCACGAAGACTCGGAAGGCGGCCATCTCCCGCTCAGGCGATGTGCGCCACACGTTCGCCAAGGTGGGGAACCAACGGCAGCCCATACGAGCGAAGAGCAGCAGCTGACGTTGAAAGCCTGAAGAACCGTGGAGCAAAACCGTGCGGTGAACGCATGCGGTGAACGCAAACATCGCTCACCGCGGCTTCGCGTCAGGGCTCCGGAGATCACTTGCAGCACATGAAGCTGAAAGAAACACTTTCGACACCATCACTGAGCCCCTGCCCAAGCAAGCAAGTCACTCTCTGGTTCTAGGATGTTCTAGCTTGACACTAGGCTGGCACGGGCCTGTTTGATTTATCACGTCTCTGAGGCGATAGGACTTGGATGCCAACATGCCGGCACAAAAACATACCAAGTCCTGAATGCACCGTCCTGTTCATCTGAATCTGAGCCCCTCCCAAAAAGTGCATGATGAGTGGTGACAACATGCGCTCCATCTTCGCACTCCTCCACTGAGAAATACATCCGTTGGCCCAGCACTGCTCAACTGAGGCTGCCACTCGGGTTGATGAGCACCCGCTGCTTTCCTCAATCGTCGACGGGGGCCCAAGGAGGTCATCAGGTTGTTCCCATTGGTCCCAAAGCCTGCGAATACACTCTTGCCGCCACTTCAATGTCCTAGTCCCCAGCGTTGATGGAGCAACGCCTGCGGACAAAACTGGAGAATCATAATAAATCCCATGCACTTGGCATTCCAGCAGGATCGGTATCTTTTAGCTGTAAGGATTCTAGGAGTGGTCAAGGGATCCATCGACAACATCTTTGCCAGGATCGCTCACATGCCTTTCATCACCTGCAACGTGCCATTGAGGTACAAGCTCCCCAACCTGCGTCCTTGTTGCTAGTAGATTCTTACTAGTAGTAGCAATCGCCTCCAACCTGCTTGCGATGGCCTCCACCTATAATAGCTTCCTTGCTCCTAGCTAATATGGATCCCCCGCGGAGCTGTACGGAGCTGGAGCTTGAACGGACCTTCAACGTGACCCATTTGGGGTGTCCGGGCACGATAGACAACGGACTTTCTCCCATCAGCACTGGAAAACATTTACACAAACGCTCTCTAGGTGAAAGATGGTGAAAGTTCATGTCGGAGGAGGTGTAGTCTCATGTCTGACTTGACCCATTTACCCATTGACCACCTGGAAGTTGTCCTGTTCTAAAGAAAATCCCTATATAGGTCACACTGTTGTTGCACACTGCACAGCCATACATTGTCGGTCTCTTGGCCTGGGCCCATACGGTCTCTCGGCTTAAGGCCATGTTTGCGACCATCCCAAAACACATGACGACTACACTACGTACGACTCCTCCTCCAGCAGTCTCCTATGTCCCAAGGTGATGCCACTCTTCCAACAGGAGCGGCACAGTCAGCTGCTTCCCGTTCAGACGCCTGGACCCACATGGGACACCAACACCTCGGTGCAGCTTCTTCCCTTCCACCGAGAGACGGGCTGCCACGTGGCACCAGGCGGTGCGCAGGAGAACCTCTGGGCTCTTTAATTCCTGGGTCTCCCGCACGAGGCGCATCCCTCAGATTGACAGAAGATGACAGGAGAAAATGACACGTAGGAGCCAAACGAACCCAAAGACTCGAGATTTGAAAGCCCGAACTTCTAGGAACTATAGCACTGTAGATGCAAGAGCAACCAGAAAAGCATATAAATTCCACTTGAGACCTCGTCAAAGGCTTCTGTGTACATCCATAAACTTGTACTCCTTGTACTGCACGCACCTTTGTGGCAGGTGTGCGCCACTCCCAGAAAATGCACCAAGCACATCTCCAGTTGTTTCACCTACTTTGCCCCCACGATGGCCACAGTGGTGCCGTGGCGTCATTCTGCTTCCTTCCGACGATCATCAGATGGAAGTGACCCGTGGAGTCCGCGGTTCTGAAAAAAAGAGAAACGGATAGAAACGGCATCTAAGGCATACGGCAGGAGAACGGGTCGAAGAGGCAACAAAAACACTATAAGCAACACTTTTTCTTCTGGCAAGAGTGAAGGGAATCATCACGACAACACCTTCATCCATTCACCTTCGACCAAGCTGCGCAGGGCCAAGGCCAACGCACAGCTACGGTTGACGCCCTGCTCGCAGTGAAGCAGTACGCATCCATCTGCGCAGCTACGGAGAGACTTTCCAAAGGGATGGGGCCCAGTGCTGAGGATGAACTTGCTGGTTGGCAAAAAACTGAAACCTGATGATGATGATGATGATGATGATGATGATGATGGAACCCACGCAAACACAGCACACAATCCACAACGACCGTGCTCACCAACCAATGTTGGTGACGTCCCGGATCGGTCACCACCTCTTTGGCCCTGCAAATGCATTTGCATCACCGCCTTCATTCAATTCCCATCACCCCTGGAAGGCCCTGGTTTCCCAACACTACTTTGGGCTTCTGAGGGGCTTTGTTTTCGCCTCACCGCATCAGTCTCAAGGCTGCGACTATGAATCCCATCTGGGGCCGGTAGGAGGTCGAATGATCCAATGACGTGCACCATCCGCAGCGAAACAACTGAGTCCCAAACGATCCAATAAAATTGCAATAAATCTCAGCCATTGTCGTTTTTGGTGTTTGGCATCCCTCATGACAGCCTGTATGGCTATTAATTCTTTTTGCAAGGCATGGATCTGCTGTGACTTGGCACGCCACAAATCTGACAATAGCTTCCCCACGTGGCTTTCCCAAGATCGCACCCTGCCTGTAAGCCCGCCAAAAGCAAAGCTCCAGGCGACATCAAAGTCATTCAATATGCAGTAATCTGGAAAGTCCTTAGCTGAGCAACCCTGTGAAACAGTTGCCCCGCTGTGGGACTTAACATATCGACCGAACAAAAAGCAAACCTCTCAGAGTCGGCTCCGTGCTCGGCAGCGCCCCTGTCGACTCTGACCTTTCGCTCATCAGTGATGCATCTGCAGGACGTGCCTCCTGTCATCTATGTTGATTGTTCTCTGCGACATAGGAAGACCAAGTGATCTGTCTAGTGGGATATGGATGGAAATGGATGGATGATATTGGGATCCGATGCTCTCTGCTTAAACAAATGGCATCCGATGGCCTGCCGTCTGTCCGACTCGAAAGCGGCTCCAGGTGGCCGAAGGCGCGGTTCAACCAAAGGTGAGGTGATTCAACCAGTGGAGAGGTGAAAAACCATACAGCTTGGGAGAGGTGAAAAACCCAAAGGTTCAACCAGAGGTGCCTAGAAGTGGAAGCCCTTCAACTCTGGTCGTGAGTGAAACTGCGTGAAGGCTCGTCTTCCCAAAGCTCCAGGTACTCGATGCCAGCCCCATAGAAACTGCTGCCTGGCGACACATCATTCAGATGAAAAAATTGGATGGTCTTTTGCCATTCCCCGGAGGGTTAATGGCATTGGGGTCAACCGGTCAAGCTCTGATGTGTAAAGACATCAATTTGACAATATAGATATTGGCCAGATGAAGTGCAACCAGGCCCAATGATATCGGCATCCACAAACTGCTCAGGGCCACCTTATAGATACTATAGGCCTTTTCTTGCGGTATACCCATGAGGCGCATCAGGTGTTCCTCCGCCCTGCGATCGTCACCGGTCAGGTCCCTGCCTGTATCGCGCACCTTGGAGAGCCAGGTCGACCGGACTTGCCGGCCCAGTGGCCGAACGGCCATACATCGCGTGGAGAAGCCCCAAAGACTCGTTGTGGCCGCTATCAATATTGACCCCAACAAACACTGGATTGCACATATTGAACACGTGTCCTTTATGGGGCCTTTGGGTGGTCCGACGTGGTCTGATGGCTGCAGAATAACTTGGCGCACCTAGATCACCACTCACCAAAAGTCCCAGAACCACCAGCCGGCCCAAAGCCCCATAAACACACATCCAAAAGGTCCAATAAGTCGTGTGATTTGGCGAGTGAGCGAACATGAACCAAGAAAAGCAAGGCATGAAGTGGTCACCAGTGGTCACCGGAAACAAATGCCACGACAAACATCGACGCACTCCCCTGCAAAGGACCACATTTTTTACCCTAAATTCACTGGGTTGTAGAGGAACATGCTCGAAACCAAGGATGATTCTCAGATTCCATGTGGTCCTCGGCAGGGGTTTCCAAGTTGCTCATGGTTTTGCTGCTCAACCAGCCGCTGTCCCATGAACCGCCGTGGTTGCCGCCGAAGCACTGTCTGTGGGGAACAGTTGATCACCTGTTCACATGAAACGGGCAGGATCGCGAGTTCGCGAGTTCGCTGGATCGGTTCACGTGGGAGCATCACGCAGTTGTGTGACCTGAAACAACCAAGAGTTTCAATACGAGTCGGGCTCAAAAACTCCAAAAAATAATCATCTGGCATTGGAACTGACAACAATGCTTTCAACAAGCATCTGGTACATGCTGACCCGTCCAAAAGTCAGAAGAGATCCCCTTTTAATTTAACATGGAAGTCATGTCTGATCAATGATCGTGGTATTTGGGGGGCTGTGTATATTTGCTTGGTCTTTGTCATGTTTGTCCTTATTCTCTTGGTTTTGTCATGTGCATGTGATTGATTTATGATATAATAGTACCTGCTCCCCCTGAGGAGCAGGAATTGTCAGTGTAAATCAAAATTCTTTAGAATCCTCGGATTTAGACCAAATTTACGGTGTCGAACGCTAATTGTCGGTGTCGAACGCTTTTTCTTGGTGTAGTGACATTTGTGGTGGATAGTACAAACTGATGCATGCACATGATGTCATTGTTTCCCCCTTTTGGGCCTCTCACTTTTCCTTTCCCTTTTCCATGCTCAATCCCGCTTTGACCTCATCCACAGTACTGTGCACTGGGTGAAGTATCGCTGGTAGCTTCTGCGAATCCGGAGCCGTGGGTTCACGGCCCTTGTGAGCGCACAAAATCGTCCAATAAAGTCTTCATCACACGCACAATTTTGAGTCATGGGGTTTTCAACCACTGGGGCGTGTGAACTCTGTACAGCCATCTCGTGCACCACATGATAAAGCATGTGGCATTTGGGAAGTATTCCAAAGCGGGGTTGGTTCATTCTGAAGCTCAACAGCGCTAGCCGAGCATACCCCTTCAAGAAGTGTCTCCCTGCGCCAACAATTCCCCGTGCTTCATTGGAACCAATGAACGCGTTGGACTTGTACAAACTGCTCATGAAATAGTTGATTGCTCGACAGCAACTTGCCTTATCTCAACTCCCCGAAATTGATGTGGAAGACAACATGGAAAACATATATAGGAAAAAACACTATTGTTGCAATTGTTGCGGCCAACGTTGCAATTAAGCGGACCCGTTCATCCCCTGACGACTCCAAATTGCGCTGTCGGCAGAACTCCTCCAAGAATTGAAGCAAAGTGGTTGTAAGGGCTCCCTTACTCCAACCCACATAGGGCTCCACGTTGCCAACCCACCCCAGCAGCGACCTATCAATGTGCCTCACGTAGTTCGTTTTCCGATTTTCCTCGGGTACCCCACGCATTCCATTTGCACGCGTGCACAGGAGCAACCAAAACTGCAAACAAAACTGCAATTCCAACACGAAAAGGGAAAATGCACTGAAATTTTCAAGTTCAAAGATCCCTGCAGAACTCTAAGTACAAGCTGGTAAGCTCTTTGAGCCTGTTGGCAACTGAACCACCATCCAGCAGCGACTGAACTATTGCGAAACTCGAAGCTGCAAAAGTTTTGCCAACACCTAGACTGACAGTGTGGAACAAGTCAATCTTGTGGAAAGAGGGCTTGTTGCTCCTGTCATGCATCAAAAGCCGGGTGAAGCTTGCTTCATCAGTCCACGGATTCTCAGCCCCCAAGGTCGCCAAGAAGGCAGGTGAATCCGACCTCAGGATAGGATAAGAGCACCGAGAGCTGTTGTCAATGGACCAAATCGGCACGGTGTTTTGTTGGTTGCAAAACGAAACTTGAAATAGACATCCCAAACATGTCTACCATCGGGCCAAACTACATGTCTTCAAAGTCGAAGGTTGGTCGTCCCCCCAGGCACAGGTGGCAAATTCCTGTGCACGGATTTTCACTCACAGCAGCACGGGGGACGTTCCGATAGCTCCGGTTCAGTTTCCCACTTGTAGCCTGCTGTTGCGAGCATACAAAATAGACTCAACAAGAGAGGTGGGAAGGCAATAAAATAAAACCCAACCCTGACAAGACCCTTTTTGGTGCATCTAAGCTTGAAACGCATGTTTTTGTATTGAATCCACCCTTTGGTTTTGAACATGGTGTGAAAAAATGTGCACAACTTGAAACCCAGTGGCTAAGTAAGGCCAATCCCCTTTGTTGCCAATGGGAATCGGGTGTAGGCGTCCCCCACTGACCAAAGGCACTCCAGCACGGGATGCATCATCCAGGGATTTGACAATCAACTCCACCAATTCGTGAAAAGGTTCATTGTCATCCCAGTCACGGTAATCCTCCTTAGGGTTTGCCAGGCTGGGGGACAGATGATGGACTGGGAAAGGAAATGACACGGTCTTCAACACAAGAAAAGGCTGTTTGAATGACGATGGACTGGAAAAGGCTGTTTGGCATGTGCCAAGACTCTCTGAGAAGTGCCCCCAACAGGAACCTGGTTTCAAAAGAGTGGCCAGCAAAATTGGTATGTGGGTTCATCGAGCCATCATCCAAAGGGCCCAGCTTGTTGCTTAGTGTACCCCTGCCCAACGGTGTGTGTAAGGACATCACAAAGCAACCATCTTTCTTGTAGGTTGTACCTTCGTCTCCGTGAAGAAACACTGGCACACAAGAACTTAGCTGAAGCCCCCCAGCAGCTGCCAAGGAATAAACATCATGCTGTGCGTGTGAATGGCGGTACATCTCCCAGAACCTAGCCAGCCCAGGGCCAGCCTTTTCCAACGTATCACACGTCTCCCCCAAGCCAATGACCTTGCTCAACTTACCAACCCTGTCCAAAGTCTTGATAAGCGAGTCAACCTTCACGTATGGATGTTTTGGGTCATACCCAACCTGCCCATATGATAGCTCCGGATCTAGCCGCAGACCATGTCGAGCAAAAACTCGCGAAACAATTTCTTCCTTAGTGAGCGCACGTAACACCCATGAAGGCAGTGGAGAGCCGACAATAAGCGTTCGACACCCTAAATTTGGCTTAAATCCGAGGATCCTAAAGAATTTTGAAAACCTTTCGCACTCACTTCACACAGTTTTTGCTATACCACATGACTTTGGCCTTTGGTATGATCCTTGGAACAAATCTATCGTAAGCAAGGGTCAGATTTGGACTGCTGTCCTTTGTAGAGGTCACGCAAGACTGGACAAACAGGGGGGATTGGCTGTGCCGACTGCGCCGCTGCGTCAAACTTCTCCTTGCGGAAGTCGTAATCTACAATCGAGGTGGCCCGCTTGATGATGTCAGTGCATGGAGCCTCAAAAACCAGATCCGACACCACCCTTTTCAAAAGAATCAAAGAGCGATTGGCGAGCGGTCACATGAATAAAAGATTCAATACTTGCTATAGCCTTTACTGCCTGTTAAGTTAATACCATGCGATCAATATAGGCACCACCTTCCATGCACAGTTTGACCAAGTCGCTCCTGTCGCATAGCTCCATGCTAAATCAATGGCAGCCGTGGATGGACCTGGCATGAGTGGCTGCGTGCATGGCCGAATCTTTGCCCGCAAAGGGTGGTGGCTGGACCTTGGATTTGTGTGTGGGATCCGACAAGAAGAATTGTAGGGGGAAGGTTCCAAAGCAACAAGTATCAAATGCAAATATTTGCATGGGATGTGTCTGAACATTTTGTGGGATTGCCACTTGTTCTGACTGGCTGGCAGCAGGATCAGAATTTCTTTTCAGCACGCTCGAATCTCCGACGATTCTTGCATGATCCCAGGCTCGCTCTAAGCATGTCTTGATTGACATGCAGTGTCCCCAACTATAGCTGCGCAGAAATCTCTATCCGCTACAACACCACTTGTTCAAAAGCGCAAGCACCCCAAATCAAACTCATGAAAAAAGACTGGGCTTTCATGGGCTTTCAAACGCCATGTGAGGTGTAGGTGTGCCTTGCGCGCTCGGCGATATAGCAAAGTTGCACAGGGATTGCACTCAGGTTCAGACCCACGTGGCATCACTTGTAAGATGCTTCAAACCAACAGCCAAACAAGAGCCTATCAAGTTGGATGTCCAAACTTCGAAACACAACTGCATGGACAAGTGCCACTTGGCGGGTCTCACCTATTTCTTTTGGCCTTTGGCTTTGCCCTTTGCCTTTGCCTTTGCCTGACTACCGGGTTTTGTCTCCTCAGATTTGTTTTTGTTCTTGGTGGCAGCGGCATTGGCCTTCTTGCACTCAGCCAGAATCAGCCTGGGCAAAATGACCATGTCGGACCCCACTGTACAAGGCATCCCTGCATTGAACACTCGAAAAGCTCAAAGCTGAAATCTTGCAGCCTAGAAACTTAATCCGGGAATCCATAGTGATAAGAGCAGAGCACCTGGTGACACACATGTATACGGAATGCGCGTGCGATATAGGCTATAGTGTGTTTCCCGTGGCATCGCGCAATGCCAGCTCAGGATGATCATGCAGTTTCGCGCTTCGAGCCAAGACACGGTTTCTTGGCAGCAGTCTTTCCTGCAAGGATCTTGCCTTTCAGCCTGGGTGGAGCGACTCGGGACGAGAGAACCCCAACCAGTCCTGACAATGAATGTTCTGTCCACAGAAAATGATCGTACAAACCTTTTTGACACCTGGAGATCCTTTACTGTTGAGGGTTGTATTTCGGTCCATGCAGCGAAAGGCATGAAGCTACATACCTAGCAATTCCGAATTAGGTGTGAATTGCTTGGCCTCTTAAATGACTGGAAAACAACATATGTGAAGAAGGGGCCACAATCATCACCTTTCAAGACAGACTCACCACCGTCTCGTTCATTACGGCATCCCGGAGTTCCTCGGAGAATTCGAGAATGTGGAGGGCATGATTGCTTGAAACCAGTCCCCCAAAGATCAGAAACATGCCAGAAAATACAAAAGTTGTTTGATAGCTGAAGAGTATCCCTTGTATTTGAGAATGAGGCTTGCCTCCAAAAAAGCTGGGCCAACCCACTCATGAGAACAATACACTACCATCATCTCTTGCCACTTTTGTCGATCCCAAGCGTAGCCGTAACGATTGTTCCTGAACCTGGATGTTGGACAACTTGTGAACCCAATCTTGAACACTGCAGGGCCATGGGTTCGTAGTATGGCCTCTACCACACTGCAGGCATGCTTCAAGATGGTGCCTGCAAGCGCACCTTTGCATGGCAACTTGCATTGTACTTGGGGGTCAGCATTCATTGCACCAAAACATTTGGCAGTCCTTGCCATCTGGAGGACAGTGTCACTCAGCATTGGGGCCCAAGGGTTGGCAGCATGCTCATCTTTCATTGGAGGTGATGGTGTCAGAGTCAGAATGTTTGCCTTACTCAAACACGCAGGCCAATTATCGCTATGGCACCCACTGCAAAGCAATGCATGCGCCACAAAATGCCAATTATAGGATATACTGCTGCTAGCAAGCTACTGTGCGGTTGTATTGAATCAGCTCTCGTAGCCAACTAGACTCGTCGTCATCAGCACCATCATCAGCGGCCATGGGGCTAAGGTTTCCAACTCCCCCCATTCTTCCCCGGCGTCTCTTATTTTTATGGCCCTGATATTGCTGCAGATACTGGCTACCCTATGTTCGGCGTTTCCTAAAAAGCCTGAAACAACAGTAGCTGCACGGTACGTGTGACAGCGATGTCAGTGGCAATACATGTGTTTTCTTTATCATGTCGATCTTGGAACTGGATTGAATGGATCCACTGTGGTTTTGAGCCCCTATAGAAACATATATATCTGAGGCCAAGCATGAAGAACATCACTTGGATTCACAGTGGCCTAATTCTGCCAAGGCAACTCATCAGTGACGGCGGCATTGTCATCTTGAAGGGAGATCTCGGCCTTTACGTCAGCAAGCTTCTTGAAGCAACAAGATAAGTCCTCACCGATGCTCTTCAGGTCAGCCAGAAGCCTCGGTTGTTGGAAGGGTGTGGCGCGCTGTCTACTGATCATTGTTACCCTCAACCCACAAGAGGTTCATACATGAGGCTTATTGACATTGAGGCGATGACAGTTTGGTGGCGGGATTGGCGGACCCCCCCCCCTTCGATCTCGAGCTTTCCCGTCATAGCATGGGCTTGCATCATTTTGCTGTGCAAAGAATCCATGAAGTTGGTCAGGTCTGGCACCACCTGACCACGTGAATGATATCAGGACCTTTTCTATATGCAACCAACTCCGTTCATGAAGTTCACGAAGCCTTTGTTTTTTTGTGAAAATGTGCGATGATCATTCAGGCCTGGTCCCCAAGTCGTTCAGGTTCCGGAGTCGTTCCCTCTTCATCAGCAAGTGCTAGAGCTGCCCCTAGATCACGGCGTGGTGCGTCCATCTCTTTCACCTTGGGTTGAGACATGTTGGGACCCTGCCCATCTCAGGTTGAGCGGCTGGCCTACTCTGGCTGTGGAATGCTTGCTGCAAAGAGTCTCCTGCTTCGCATGTCTCCTGCTGCTTGTACATCTCAGAGCTGCGAATGGTTTGTTTGGTGCTCATCTCAACGAAATACTCTTTGACATTGGTGTCGTACTTCCACGACCTGTGAGAAAGGCCATTGGTATCATATGGTATATGTGTTGCCTTTTAGCATTGAAATAACAATGGGATGACAATCAGTTGTTGGCCTCACCAAAGCTGCAGGAAAGCGAGAGCAATAAGCGATCACCTTCTTGATTGTCTCCCTTAGATTCGGTGTGGGTGAATGATAGAGCAGATGCATTTGGGACGTCGTTGAAAACAGGCCCGGAATCGCATTTCAGGTCAGAGAGTCGCAAAACCTTAGTCAAGTTGCGGAGAATAGTCGCCAGACTTGACCATTTTCTCCTCAGTGAGCCATTGTCCAGTAACTTCCTGCTCTTTCGTTTCCATCCGCTCTCGCACCAGAATAACCCGAGCCTTAAACTCAGCCTCAGGTTTTGCAGGGTTACACTAAGCAGCCCCCCAAGTTATCATAGTTATAACTTTAGTTGTAGCACTTACTGAAGTTAAAAATAAGTTATAAGTAAGTTATATGAAAGAAAGTGTAAGTAAGTTATAAGAAAGTTGTAGAAGTTATTAAGTTGCTTAAGTTGTTTGCGTTGCCAAAAATCAGGGCAGACAACCGCCGAGCCAAAAACACAGAAAACACAAGTGTTTTCAAATTCTGGGCAGACAACCGCCACAAGTCCACAGCCAGTCGCACTTTTACAGCAGACACACGACTTTGTCATCTTCGTGGTACCACCACGCTGGCCGCCAGACATTGCTGCAACCGATTCGCACAGCTTCGATCTGGGGCGTTCGTTTGAACGCGCGAGTGTTGAAAACCGCTGCTGATTCTTCCACCAGTTGTTCGATGAAAGCGAAAAAACGCTCTTCTCGTTCCAGAAAGAACAAAGCCAATCCTGCACTGTCACGTCCAAAGAAGAGAACATCATCCTTCGATAACTCAACGCTTCCCTCTTTGTATGTAGTGCCCATGCGGCACTCAAGGCCACAAGCATTGCGAACTTCTTCAGCCTCATACAATGTTCCTGCAAGCTGCGGCTTCCATAGATGAAATTGCTCTGTCTTCCTTGATTCAAATTGCGCAAGAAAACTTTTTTTGAGCCCTCAAGTGTCTGCCATAGATAAAAATACTTGGTGGTAAGGAGGTCTAAGGAGACACACGGGGATACACCAGGATACATTGGGATACACGTGTATCCCAATGTATCCCTGTGTATCCTGGTGAGGGGATACACCGGGATACATTGGGATACACGTGTATCCCAATGTATCCGTGTATCCCAATGTATCCCGGTGTCTCCTGGTGAGGGGATACACCGGGATACACCGGGATACACGTGTATCCCAATGTATTCCGGTGTCTCCTGGTGTATCCCCTATACACGTGTATCCCAATGTATCCCTGTGTATCTCTCTGTATCCCTGCGCCTTCCGTTTCTATCGCAAAAAAATGATCGGTATGTCTGCGCACAAACAATTTCTTTCCATACAAGATTGCATTTCTGGGCAGAACAACCGCCAAAGGTTAAATAATTGCATTGCGTTCTTTTTCGGAATGCAAGCTCGTCCATCCCTCAAAACTTCTTCATCGAAAGCTCGCTCCTGCGATCCCTCAAAACTTTTTCATCGAAAGCTCGCTCCTGCGATCCCTCAAAACTTGTTCATCACAGACTTCTTGGTATTCGACTGTGTCTTGTCTTTGCAAGTCTGCTTTTTCTCCGTCTTCGTGGCTTTCTGTTTGCAGGTGGAGCGAAACACAAGTTTCATCTCCTGGTTCCACATTGACTGCGGGATGGTATCAATGTGGGCACTTATTAACCTTGTTGGTGAATATACTATTTTTTGCACAGAACTTACAAATCATCAAAAAACAAACATAAAAAAAATAACTTCCGTAACTTGTTTCTAAGTTCTGCAAGCTTCAACATAGCATGTGTCATAACTATGTTATAAATTTCACATGTTTTAGAACTTACTTATATTTGTGTTATAACTTCCAAGGAACTTATCGAACTTAGCATAGGTTATAACATATGTTATCCCTAGTTATAACCTATGTTGAGGAAGTTTTTAACTTCTTTAACTTGGGGGGCTGCTCAGTGTACAAATGGATACCAGGAACTGTAAGCCCATCAGAAATGGTAAGAGTTTCTTTTGCGTGTGCTTTTGCAATGTCATGCAAGGGCATTTTGTTCAAACCATACAATTGCATCTAGCAACTTTCAGTTTCTTGTGCTGAGATCTGTCGGGTCCAACTTTTTGGAGTGCTTCGACCAGCGCGATCTCAAGCCATTCTCGGTCCTCTCCTCCACGAACGTACTGCTCGCGGGTCTTTTCATCCACATGACACTTCTTTGTTTTAGGCTTTTGTTCGCACAGTCTACGCAACCTCATTCTGAGCGCATCGTGCGACATTGACCCAGCCCCATTAGGGAATCTAATCACATTTTCATCATCACCATTTTCATCTTCAGCACTTGTTTTGGCATCATCCTGCAGTTCATCACCATCATGGCTCGCGCAGGCAATGCTGGGTGTTTCCTCACGTCCACTGGCAGCAGTGCTGCTTTCCATGTATGATGACGTTGTAGGACTTGGGTGCTTGTGCTTGGGGGCTGGTGTCACAAAAGACGTTTGGTTGGAAGGCGGACCTGCCTTTTGTGATGCTGCCACTTGCTCAGCCAACCTTGACTCAAGCTGTTCAATCTTCTCCAGTGCTTTCTGCAGCAAAGAGTCGCGAAGAGCTGCATCAGGCGCAGGTGAAGTAGCTGGCTCAGGCGCCACTGACAGCACCTGTTGGGTCACCTGTGTAGTCAATGGAGTTTCCTCTGAATCTGCAGTCTTGGCGCTTGAGTCCATGGGCATGGCATCAGCAGAGTCAGGTGCATCCGGTCGGAATGCTTTCTTGACCGGAGAAACCTTCTCAGTTGCTGGTGGAACAGAGCGCTTAGTGCTGTCCCTCTCACTCTCCATGTTCTTGGGTGAATTGCCATCCTCAACTTCACCGATCATGAAACAAAGGTCACATCAAACTATCATTGAGGGGTTGAATTCAAGGACAGCGCGTAGATCAAAGCACACCCTGATTGAAACCCTGCCCTTTGCTGCCCAGGTTCCTGCAAATCATCTGGTGGAGCGACTGGCGAAATCACTGGATGGGCTATGCTTTCAAGTGCCTTGCATGGCAGTCGCATGGCAATTGAAAGGGAGTCCCATGGGTGAAAGGTGAATGTACGGGTTGGGAAAAACACGAGAGTGAGACCAAACATCTCAACCGCAAGAGTCATGTAGTGACAAGAGTCTGCAGGCAAAGTCTCAGCTTCCCAAATATTCTCCGGTTCTTTCTTCACACACTCCTCCTTCGGCTTTAAGAACCCGGTTGCGAGTGCCTTGAATGTATATAGAAACGGGAGATTGTTTCGCAAGTCCGCCAATTTAGTTCACATATAGTGGAACTGATATGCGCAAAAATCACCCGTGAAGGGTTTTTGGGTGCCATCCAAGAAACTGTCCCTGGCATTTGGAGTACTGATTTGGCTTCCTGGATTGGGGCAGGTTGGGCTCGTGATCATATCACATAAAGGTTCATGTTCAAAGCAGAAGCAAGCATGAACCAACCCATTCAGAGTGTTTGAAATGTCCTCAATCGATTGAAGTAGCTGTTCACGAGTCAGCTTTTCCGGTTCAATGGCCAGTGACAAACCAGCCATATCAGCACAAAGCTCAGCACCCTGAACCAGCTCGGAGCAACTCCATTGCTGGCTTCTAAGGGATGTCCCGCGATCAGCCATTCCCAAATGATGGAAACGTAGCAGTACCTCTATATTTGACACCTTGAGGCAAAATCTGCTACCATCAAGATTCCAGAAACACACTTGAAGCACTTCTGTATAAACTGTAAAACAAACATGATCCTGTAAAAATTCTTTAGAAACATGAAGCACTGAGAAGTCCTGGCTTTCTCGCACTGATTTTCCCCAGATTTCCCCAGTTTGGACCAACAGCGTAAGTTCAAAAGCTGTTGTGACCCGACTTTGGCTAGTCCAGTGAGATCCAAGTGCCCTCAGCACCTGATGAAAAAACCAAAAAAAGCACTCATTTTGGGATTCGATTTTTCCGACAAAAAGCATAAAAATTACGTATTCCCGAACGGTCCACGAACGGCTGGCGAACGGGTTTTGAACGGGTTTTGAACGGGGTACGAACGGGTACGGGTTCGTACGGATTACGCATTCGGGTTCGAATGGAAAAATTATTGCTTTTTTGGCTCTGTTGTACGGGTTCGATCGGATTCGATTGGCTCTGCACGGTCCCGCACGGGTTCGAACGGTTCCGAACGCTTCTCGTCTAAAAGAAGGACTGTTGATTGTTTTTTTTGTATGTTTTTCTTTGGAAAAATGATTCCAAACCATTCCTGGGACTCACGTTGGATCTTCTGGGCTGAAATATTCAGTTCACAAGTGCGTTGGGAGGACTGCCCGCCACTCTTCTGGAAGGTTGAGGGATCTATTGCCCCTCAGGTACACAGCTACGGGGGCCAAACGAGCATCCTGCCAGTCTAGCTCAGTTTCCCAACTCATCTCACTGAATGCCCGAGGCCCATCGCAGATGTGATCTGGATGAATTCGAGGGCATCCTTCGCCTCGCGTCTTGAACTGGGGCATGTATTTCACGGTGTGCCAACCAAAACGAGCAGGATATGTCCTTGGCGAAAGCTGAGCGGATCACCAGTTTCCAAATTAGACATGGGAACAACTTGTTTGAGACCCGCATCAGCTGCGCTACAACATCCCGAGTCCAATTATACCAGAAGACTGATAGTTCCAAGAAATATGCTAAAAGGCCTTCAAACCAACGCCCCACCTGGAAACATTCAACTTCGATTGGGGTGCCCCAATCCTTGTCCAATTCAAGGTGGCCTGGAACATCCCGTTTTGGGTCCAAACACCTTGATTCAGGCCACCTTCGAATTTAAAAGGAACAGTTGAAACTTGTCACCCTCACTTCCCAATCCGAGGGAAGGATCACTTTTGAAGTGCTGGTCCTTTTGACCTCTATTGGCGCTAGCCTCCCACCACCGATGAAACACTTGAATGTGCAGAGCCTATCAAGGTATTGGGCGGTCAGAGGGTTGCGAATGAAACATTAGCCTAAGGCAGCTGTTCCCTTCCACCTCTTGCGTCCTTTGGAATCAGTGTAGGTCACTGCATTCTTCTTGGTGGGGTCTTGCTCCTTGACAAACTTACGAACATGTAGTTTCCCCAAATTGTATTTGCCACACCATCGGTTGTTCGTAAACGCTTTGTGACGCTTGGGACTGGAATGTCCAAAAAGGCCCATCCACCAGCAGACGCGGTATACCTTAGCTCATGATTGCTGCCAACCATAAATGCTGATTGAGAAATGAGACAGTCACACTGACCCCAATCGCGGTGAGGCTACTGGAACTTGTCTGGTGAGCCATTGAACTTTGTCATACCACTCCATCAAAGACCCACGTGGCTGTTCTATAAAGAAAGTCCCACCACGTGCGCAAATAAGCAGCGCAATCAAGCAACTCCTCAACTCTGGGCACAGGTGGGCAGGCAACCCAACCAATTGGAAAAGGGTGCATGATACTGTGAGGGGTTTTCGGGACAGTGGCATCACTGCAAACATTATATGGTCGACATATTCTGAACATGCACGTTACGATACCGAGTCATGATTGGAAATCAATATGCATGCAAGGATCCGTGCACACATACAATTTCCATCATTGACATATGGGAGTTTGCCGTTTCCATCTGGGTAGCACATGCTCCGTTTGCTGGTGCCAACGTTCACTGGCACCCAAGAAGTGCAAACAGTGGCAATGATGCTGTAGAACTCCGAGTCCGCAGCTTGCAACACAAGCCAAATGCAGATCCTCAAAAGAGATGATTGGCAAGCTAAGTTGAGTGCATGGTTGGAAATGATGGGCTTGATCGGAACCATGTTTTCATTGTTTGAATGGTCATGAGGAATCGGAAAATCCCCGACAGGTGGAATGTATATTCATGGAAAACATGTGTGGGTCACACACGCATGCGTGAATGCATGCCGTCAAAAGTCGCTAGACCTGGAGAACTCAGGAAATCCATTGGGCTTTGTCTCATGCTTGCCTTCGAAGTGGGCAGTGGCTTGTCATAATTGACATCGACTCTTGCAGCCGGGTAGGCAGTGGAGACTGCTTTCCAGCAATTTGCCTCCCCAGCGAACATCTCAATGTACTCGAGGCCCTGGAATTGGAAAGAACAAGCCAAGAGAGGTTGATGGGACACCTGTGTCTTGAAGTGTTTTGTGTCCTGTTCACCTATCTTGGAATCTTGAGGTCAACTGCTTGATTCTTGTAGCATTCGCACTAGCATATATGAGGCAATAGCCATGCATCTATACGTGCAAAAGGTTATCATGCATGTTTACGCTTTGCGCCCGTGATCAAGATGCAACCATGACTGAATGGCAGGAGGAAGGTTTGTAGGACTATATATCCCTTCCTGACACACGCACAGAATGAGCCATGTGTTTATAAGAGTTCACACCGCCTGGGCAAAGTTAGGAAGATTCGAGGAGAAGTGCACCAGGATCACACACAAGACAAAGACCTCGGGGCGAGAGGTGAACCCTGTCAATAGTTCTGCCAGAAAAGCTGGGATGAAAACACCAAAAGGGTCGTAGGCTGTGAGATTTGTCACGTTTTATAGTTAAACGTGTGATGCATTCTCGCACACACTATAGGTAAGTTCCAAGACAGGTGCCTTTATTGCCTTTCAATCTGTTGGTTCTTGATCCGTTCAGTTTCTTGACATAGACTAGTCCATGAACCGATCAAAAACTACATAGCTTGAAACCAAGGCACCTTTGGACAGTTCAACATCTTCAGCCGCACCACCAACTTGTCTATGTCCAGTGGAAGCACCATGAGAAAATTTGTTTTGAGAGCCTACCTCAATGGTTCAGAAGCCTCTCTGTGGCTGAGTCAACAGGTCATGATTGATTCGAGCCAATGCAGCAGGAATAGCTTCGACTGACCATTCAGTCGGACTTAAGAAAGTCAGCACTACAGCAAAAGACATACAACATATAAGAATCTGGAGCCTGGAGCCAATGAAGGAAGGACATGAAACCTTGTTTGCATGACACCTTTACAAAATGACATGAATTGAAAATACGACATGTCTCCAAAACTTTTAGTCAGTCAGTTTTGCACTCTTGCTGCGTGGCCATGCGCCGCACCCCTCCGGTATCCAAGGAATCAGATCCGGCGAACGACAATCAATGCCAGAGAGGCGATCCATCACAGCTCGACTTTGAGGCAGGGCTCCATTCGGCATCGCTGGGTGCCAGCCTGGTCGGAATATATGGGAACAATG